ACTGCAGGCTCCCAGCGGGGATCTGCGCACTGCACATTCCGCCACTGCAGGCTCCCAGCGGGCATCTGCGCACTGCACATTCCGCCACTGCAGGCTCCCAGCGGGCATCTGCGCACTGCACATTCCGCCACTGCAGGCTCCCAGCGGGCATCTGCGCACTGCACAGCCCACTACTGAATGCTCCCAGCGGCACAGCCCACTACTGAAGGCTACCAGCGGCACGACCCACTGCCGAAGGCTCCCAGCGGGGATCTGCGCACTGCACAGCCCACTACTGAAGGCTCCCAGCGGCACAGCCCACTACTGAAGGCTACCAGCGGTGCAGCCCACTACTGAATGCTCCCGGCGGATTGCTTCCCTAAACCATACCACGCAGGGTATTGAAAGACCTGTCTTTTACGCAGAGAACTTCGCACACCGGGCATCGGCTCCAAACAGGCCGATAAACCGTTCGAATCGCGCAAGTTTCCCAACTTCCGCAGTTTCCAGGGCTGTGTGAGTGCCTCTGAATGGACGTCCAACTCGACTGCAAGGCAACGCCAGCCAATGCGCCGAGCAAGTGGCTCTATTTCCCTTTTGCGTGGAAGTGAAAGCTATTTAACTTAATACAAAGCCGTTTTTAACGAGTGGTATACGTATCTGGATCCAAGAGCGAACGCATAATCTTTATAAGGTGCGGCAACATAACTTTTTACCTGTTTGTTTTATTTGACCGGCATTTTTTCAACAATCATTTTGGAATCAGAGTTCTTGCCGAGGGTTGCTTGCGGCAAAGACCATCACCCCGCCAATCTGGTACCAGAGCAGGTAGTTCTAGTTTAACGAATAGATTGGGTTCAAATGTTTTCATGCGACACGCAGTGCCACGAGGCCGCGTCCGTTTCAGCTTGTCTGTCTTTGCATCTTGTCAATCGATCGTCAAATTCGAATTACACAGGGGAGTCAAATTAGACGAAGTCGAATCGCGCTGACGGTGTTCCGTCAGGAGCCCTCACTGAGAGCCCTCATGGCCAAAAGCTCATGAACCCTCCGACTATTTCTTGCTGCCTCTGGATGTTATGTTTGGTGTAGCATGGCGAATGACGAAATAAATGTGTGTAATAATCAACTGCAACGGACTGTGTAATGAGCTTTAAATACTAACGTTATATATGATCTATGAAATCTGAGAAGCTCTTCTAGTGCGCCTTTTTTGTGCTGTTCCAAATTCTAGAGCTCCTGCATTCGCTAAGGAGGGCATGGTGTAAGCCCCGTGCCTCTACTGGAACCAACTGGAGCTTAACCCGCACTTTCAGCAGCACAGCACTCCGGCGAAGCGCAAGGTGAGCTAAACTAAACACCAGGTTACTGACAAGCTGCAGAGATACTGCAAATAAACGAGGAGAAACGGCATAAAGACGAAGGCTGTTTGGAAAGGCAAGAAACGTTTCTTGGTGTCACTCTTCACGTCTGTTTCTTTGATGTTCTCTCTCTCTCTCTCTCTTCTCTCTCTCTCTCTCTCTCTCTCTCTCTCTCTCTCTCTCTCCTCTCTCTCTCTCTCTCTCTCTTCTCTCTCTCTCTTCTCTCTCTCTCTCTCTCTCTCTCTCTCCTCTCCTCCTCCTCCTCCTCCTCCTCCTCCTCCCTCCTCCTCCTCTCCTCTCCTCCTCCTCCTCCTCCTCTCCTCCTCCTCCTCCTCCTCCTCTCTCCTCCCCCTGCTACTCTCCTTCTCTCTCTCTCTCACTCTCCTTCACCTCTACCTCCACCTTCCCTCTCGCCCTCCGTGCAGTTGACGCGGCCCATCCCGCGGCGGGCGACTCCAGCTTCGGCGCATCACACCACCCGTCAGCCGGCCCATGCACTTGGCCGGTGGCCGTCAATTCGTTCGGGGCCGGGCCTTTTCACCCGCAGCCGGACAATGGTGGCGGGAAGAGGGTTTTTGTACGGCCCGTCCAGCCGACCGCCAGATGTCGCTTCACACCGCCGGCGGCCGCTGGCTCCTCATGCCGCTCCGGCCGCCGCCGGCAGAGCGCTGGGAACGCCGCGCGGAGCGTGCCCGATCGATAAGTCTGGCGGCCCGGCGAGGAGCCGGGCTCCGACTCGTGGCCGAAGGGCGCGCCGCAAGGTTTCTCTAATGCTTTGTGGGAGTACGCCGCTAGCTAATGGAAGACGCGAGGCCGATGTTGAAGCGATGGTCGCGATATTGACTCGAGACGATGCTGGGTCGTGAGGCGCACGCTAGACACCATTAATGAAATGAACTGCGGATGCGCTTCTTCAGCGACAGGCAGGCGAGGGACAGGCTTTCACTGTAACTATGCAAAGCTGACGACATCGTTTGCTGCACTGATCGTTAAAAGCTTCCTGGAGTCATCGTTTTCATCTATTTCGTATCACATTTAAACTTTCGGTTTTTTCCTGCGAAGACTGTAACTTCATGGACAGGGCCCGACTTAGATGAGCAACCAGATGCGCGTTAAACAAAGCAGCCGACCCTGGATGAGACCGAGCACGACGCTTGTGCACGACTGTGTGCCTCAACGTCACGCTCAACACACTCCGCTCTGCCGCAACAACGTGGGTGGGCTCTCGGACCGTGATGAGATGGGGGAGCGGGCTTCCGTTGCCGCTGACTCAGCTGACTCAGCTGACTCGGCGAGTCGCCCGATGGGCAGGGCTCGCTGCAGGACTCGACCCGGACCCGACCGCCAGAGCGAGAGCAGCGCGTCGGCAGCGACGACGACGCTCGGTGGGGGGGGGGGGGGGCTCCCCCGCTATCCGGCCAACCTGTCGGACAGTCCTCTTCGTCGGCTGTGGATGTCGGGTGGGCCCTTCCAACGGCTGTGATGCCACGGGACCTTCCTCGGTGGCCCGGTCCATGCCACGTGACGTCCCTCGCTCGTTCTGCTCATGGTGGCAACACACTTCTTTAAGACGTTCTGTCTAATCGCCTATGGATGTCCGGGATGTCCGATTTGGCAAAGGCTTTTAAGCTGGCACTTGGGATCACATGATACTCCGATGGTTTCTTCCTAGAAGCTCTTGTCAATGTCGAAGGGGGTCATTTTCCCTCAGATCTTCGGCCCATACATACGTCACTCACCACCCTTCAATGTCGAACTTTCCCACTTAGAACCCTTTATCAAGAGTGGACTTAATGGAGGGCAACAAATATGAATGTCCTCCCCATCCAACGCGATGAAAAATCGCCGTCCCCGCTCTTCCGCTTAATCTTCGGGTATGTCATGACCACTCGGAAATAGAGCACCCAAACACTGCTAACAGGTCCGGTGCTGGCCGGACGCTTCACCGTTATGCCAGCACTCCATCGCGTGCTCTGACAGCGGGACCTGTCGACACCGCGCGTCCGGCTCAGCGCCGACCGATGCCACAACTCGGACCGTCGACGGCCGGCGGCGCCTCCCTCCCGTACGAGCCTGTTACGTGGGCTGCCGAGCGAAGCGCGGCAGCGGCGCCGGCGCCGGCGCCGCGGCCGCGCGAGACGACGGCTGCCGCGCCGCAGCGCCAGCAGAAATGACCCTGCTTACCGGCGAGGTGTCGGGTCATGCGGACGCGTCGGCACGCGCGACGTGCAATCTGTTCCGCGCCGGTGCGGCGCCGGGCGCGGCAGCCCCCGCGGCGCCGGCTGGCAAATAACGCGAGAAGCGCGGTGTCACGGGCGCCGGGTTCGCCCGTCGCCGTCCGCCGCCGCCGCCGCCGCCGCCGCCGGTCGCCGGGCCCGGGGACGGGGAGTGCAAAGAGACGGAGAAGCGAAGAAGGATCGTGTGTGGCAGGAGGAAAAGGAGTGGACGAATTCCCCGGGGTTTGCAGACTTGCAGCGGCCCGGACTGGCAGGCGTGACGGAAGGTTGTTCCGCATGAAGTGGGTTGCTATTTTATAAGAAAAAAATACGGGCGAACGGTTCGTGAGCATCTTGGCTTCGTGCGTAGGTCAGGGACCACGGAAGTGGCCCAGTGAACCCATCACTACTTGGGAAGTCATAATTTTGCTACTGCCGGGGATGGCTCAGATTCAGCAGTGTCTAAACAGTCGAAGCATTGTGCTCTGTAAATGCGGTCTGAAAACGTCGTCCCATTTGACAAGCAGGACATCAGCTGACTGACAAGCAGGACATCAACAGGACAATCAACATCAAGCGATTTTCGAATCGCTAGGTCAGCTGTTTTTAGTCAAAACGGCTCCTCATCGAGCCACTAGCTCTAGCAGGTGGTGGGGTAGGAGTTGCAATGAGTCTAGCTGGTCTCCAATACCAGTCTTTCAATAAGGCATTGCAATAAGTCAGCCTTGAGAAAACGTCTGTCTTTCTGCCTGCCCGCAAACTTGCAACCGTATAAATAGACCATTTCACACGATACGCTTATATTGACAGAGGTAAAGATAGATTTGAAAACTGGAGTTATGAACCCCGGGATTTCCCTTCTTCCCGCTATCCTGGATTAAAATATCCAATAGGTTGAGCTTCTACCCTGTTGCGACTTCCACTGCGGCTGAAATTGCTGCGGACATTTGGGCAAATAAATGGGGGGGGGGGGGGCAGAGAGGAAGGTAGGTCGGAAACGCATGCGAAAGCGTAGCCATGCGAAACAGCCTTATTTCAAACCCGGTAACGCCCATTTACCCCAGACAACCGGCGCGTGCATCTTGCAAAATGGTATGCAACTCAAATAAAACCAATATATGTTGCTTCGCCACTGGAACTAATAAACTAACGTAATAATATGCTTCAGACCGCTGCAATAGTTTGCTGGTCAAGCCAGTGCATTGCTGAAGGTGAATGCTGTCTCTGAGGATAAACGTCCAGCCATCGAACCTCTGCTACCCAGCTCAGGCCGAGACGGACGGGAAAGACTAGCCGGTCGCCGCCGGGCATATACGGCGCGACCAGACCCAACAGCCGACTGAAATCAATAACAGCGGCACGCCTGGTCGGACGTCTGCCTGCTGGAACAGCGGCCGCCAGCACGCCACCTTGCATAATCGCCGGCAGCTGTCGCCGGCGCCGATCATAGAGCGTCATCTGGCGTCATCGAACACGTCATCAAAACCGCTCTGACGTCAGAGCGTCTGATCGGAGACGGCTCGTGCTGCGCTGGCAGACGGGGCGCACAACAGGTGCACAAAGCCGGCGCGGCGGCGAACGCCGACACACCCAACAGACGCGGCGCCCCCGGGCAGGGGGGCGGGGGTGGCGGCGGGGGGGAGCAAACGCTTTGATCTGGCCGCCGAGCTCGCCGGCGGCCCCGGCTACTGCGCCCGGCGGCGGCGGGCTTCAGCCGCTGCCACTGAAGTCGGAGCGGCCGCCAACGCCTCTGTGCGAACGGCGCGTAACCGTGCCGCACGGGCCGCCGCCGCCGCCGCCGCCGCGGGCGCGGTCAGGGCGCGGCGGGATCGTCCCGAGCCCGCTGGGCAGAGGACCTGAGGCGGAGGGCGACCGTGACCCGCGCGCCCTGCAGCCTGCGATGCGTGACCGCTGCCCAGCCAGGCTGATGTAAAAGGCAAAGGACGCTGCCACGTCAACGAACCATCCAAAAGAGGCCAGAGGGCTGACGGCAAGCAGCCACGCCTCCCTGCGCGGATTGCGCCAGCGACAAATATAACCGGCGAGGTGCTCATACTGACAGCAGCTAGGCAGGTAGTACAAAAACCAACGCCGCAACATCGCTGTTAAAACATTTTTTTTCAAGAACGTGGCCTTTGGTCTCTCTCCCTGACCATTCTCACCATTTTCATTCGTGCGTGACAGTGGCATCGCGACATTTTCGGCCAATTGAATGCCACGCCTCTCATCAGGTGTGTAGTTTCGAATTTATTCCAGCAAACCGACTTTTAAAGGGAGTGCGGGAAAGTTGGAGAGAAAACTCCATTTTTATGTATTTGAGGCACACTTAGTCTTGTTTCGTTTTTCCCTACTTCCTTATTCAGCCCCCGCCCCATACGCCCCTGTACCTCAGTCTAGACGGCGAGAAAACTTGAGAGAGACGGGCAATATAAAGAAGAACGACGTCACGCCTAATCTTGCTCTGTACTTGTAGACTTCGTGCAGCCACCGAAAATGGCCCCTATCGACCGCGTGTCAGTCCCTTGCCGAGCAACGCCCTCTCCCCGAACCATACCTCTATCACAGAAGCATCTTCACCCGGCAGATACCTTCACCTGAACCGCACCTCGACCAGTGTCTCACCTTTATCCGCGACATGCCCCCACCTGAACCGCACTTGGACCAGTGCCTTACCTTTATCCGGAACATACCCTCCCCTGAACCGCACTTGGATCAATGTCTTACCTTTATCCGGGACATACCTTCACCTGAACCGCACCTCGGCCAGTGCCTCACCTTTATCCGGGACATACCCTCACCTGAACCGCACCTCGACCAGTGTCTCACCTTTATCCGGGACATACCCACCCCCGAACCGCACTTGGATCAGTGTCTTACCTTTATCCGGGACATACCCGCCCCTGAACCGCACTTGGATCAGTGCCTTACCTTTATCCGGGTGGAAGATGCGGCGCAGCTTGCCGAGCGCCTCCTTGAAGGCACGCACGTCGTGCGTCAGGGCGACGATGTCCTCCTGCTCGACCAGGTGCGAGTCGGCAGAGCCCTCGCTGCTGACACTGGCCAGCGACACGCTGCAACGACAGACACGACCGAGTCGGCACCGGCCGCTTCGCACGCGGGAGGGGGGGGGGGGGGGGGGGTGGAGGGACGGCTGACCGGCGGCCCCGCCGTGGCCGCTACTGGCGAGGGGTGGATCTCCGCGCGGGGAGGCTGCTGATGCTGGGAAGGCCACGATGTCGTGGTCTGCATCTTGACGGCGCTAAGCTCTCAACTATGGCGATGTCTCAACTATGGCGATGTCTCAACTATGGCGATGTCTCAACTATGGCGATGTTTAGTTGTCCGTTGATAGCGTGATCCAACTTTTCGAGCCTTAAAGATTACTTACTTAAGATTACTTACTAAAAGGTAAGAATAAAGATAAAAATAAATAAAAGATAAAAGATTAGATAAAAAATTAGACATTAGATAAAAGAAAGATTAGAGATTACTTAAAACCTTTGTTTCCACCGGCAGATCACTGGCAGGGGTAACATTTCACCCGGCTGAAGCTAGCTTCTGCTACTTTCCAGTTTGTACTGTTTTTTTGCTGGTCAAAACCGGCGTGGTTGGCAGACACTCAGCAAAGTGTAATATTCCTCTTTTAATTCATATTATAACGATGCAGTAGCAATGCTTCGCACTCAGTAAAACAAAATACACAACAAGGTTAAGGCAATAACAAACACAGTAAAATGTTTATACGACAGCATGACGTAGTGCATCTCTTGCAATTGGTGCACCAAAAACAAAAAAAAGCAAAAAACAAAAAACGAGACGTCGCATACTACAGTGTCGAACTGGCGTATCTCGTCGGCCAATTACGGAACTGCCGTAAATAGTCGTCTTTGAGCAGAAATAACCTTCGGTATATTTGTAGATTTATGGATTTATGGATTTGCCCGTTCAAAAACCCTTAAGATTAGGTTAGACAATCCAACCCCAAAGATAACACCGATTACATTCTACAACATTTGCGCAGACCGCTTTCGGATCTAAAGTTTGGGTTACCTGTCAGATTATGGCAATCGCTGCCGTTGTCGTGTTCAGTTGCATCCGACCCACCTGTTTTTGTTGCGTTCGGTACAGAGCTAGGTCAGAGCCATCCATGTCATGGTGGCATCGCAAGCGACATGACGTTCAATTTAAATGGCACCGGCCTTGAATGACCCCGAAAATGTCCATGACGTTCAATTTAAATGGCACCGGCCTTGAATGACCCCGAAAATGTCCATGACGTTCAATTTAAATGGCACCGGCCTTGAATGACCCCGAAAATGTATGAACAAAAGCTAGGAATTTTGGATCATGGATGCGTTGCAGTTTGATCCGCTTTCGATGCTTGGAATCGTCAATAGCTTGACGTTTGTATTAACGACGGCGATATATTTTCCTTCACGCATTTTGAACATGTGTTCCAAAGAAGTTACAGCATATATACACAATGATGGTATTTTAGCGTTTGACTGGGAGAGTACGACAAATGCCAGATTGCAAATAAATGAATAAATATATCAAACATGGCGTCTCATGACAGTCAAACCTTGGCGAACGCCTTTTAAAAGCGGCATCTGTAAAAAGTAAAAGGCTTCCAAATAACGACTTTCAGTGACGGCAAATAACAGAGAATCAAGAAATGCATATCCCTAATGAACACAGACAGCTGGGTCCCTTCGCCCATGCAGGCAGGCAAGTACAGTGTAATTGTTTTACTTTGGGACTTCCCGTAATGCCGAGCCCATCATGCCTGCGCGGTCCGTGTATGTCCCATTATCACCAACAGGGCGTCATACGACCAATCGATGGTTTCGTTGTCAGCGCAATGTCTTAACCAAGTAGATACAGCATTGTATTGACAGCGCAAAGTGTTTACTACTCAGAAGCTGAAAACAAGTCGAACGTGATGTCGGCAGACCGGAACATGTTCCGGCTTGCAGCATACGAAACATGTGTGATTTGTATGCTGCATTGACCAGTTCCTCGCAACAACGTGTCTCACCCAGCCTGGATATTAAATTGTATGCTCTTGACCGCTACCAAGCTCAGCCGACCTCAATTCCTCGGCGACCGGTGCCGACCATGAAATAAGGACGTTCTACCCGGTACTAGCGCGGCGGCAGTGGTTCCGACACTCTAAAGGTGGCGGGGCTTCCTGGATGATGACAAAAACAAAATGACAGGAACGAGCCGGAAATTCCTAATGGAATGGAACGGAATGACGCTTAATCAAGAATGGTGTGAAATGATTAACTGAGTTACCGTAACAGACAGGTGACCGTCACCGCTAACAGTTCCCAATAAAGCATCACTTTGGAACCCATCAATGCCAAGTCCAAGTGGTCTTTGAACTAAACGATCCTTCTGATACCTGAACAGAGTGGTCCGTGTGTTTTACCTAGCTGTGACTGGGTGGCGGCGTTTCCGGCATTATCATGATGACACGAGATGGCGCGGGCGTCCCGTCGTTCGCGGCGAACCGCACTTGTGTTTAGATATTTCAAGAGACAGCTGCGCATTCCAGATAGCCGCCGTATTCGCTACACAAATCTAGCAACAGGCCCTGATTCTCCGCCACGTTTTTTTAGTTTCGCCCCCATGTCCAGAAGAGCATGGAGGCAATGCTACGTGATATTTCATGCAAATTTTTACATCAAATCTAACGACACTAGATTTTAAAAGATATAAAGCAACTGTTCGCACTATAAAACCTATGTAAATAGAACCTTTGCAAAACCCTAGTAAGCGTATTACTCAGTGTCGAAGTCCAATTGCATAATAATTAACTGCAAGATGGGCAACACCCATGTTAAATCATTAGCAAACATATGCAATCGAAGTAGGGCATCAGCTGTAAAATGGTATAGACTTGCGGGCGTACTGAACAATCTAAGGAAAACCGGATGAGTTACGGACAACCCGACCCGAGTTCTCTTGTGAAACATACGCGTTGATCAGCCGAGATCAGCGCTTGATTGGCTTGGCCATAGATGCCGTTAAGACAAACCCGACCGCTTCTACATGTGGGTTTAGTTTTGATGTGATGCGTAATGCCAGTTTTTACCGAGCACTTTACCGAAGTATATCCGTTTCCGATCTAGGTACCTAGGTATCTAAGGTCAAATTAATCAGCGCCAAGATCATGGATGCCCTCAGGTCACACTGAATGACCTCCTGCAGTGGCGAAATATGAGTTGCCCAACAATACATCCAAAAATAAACCATTAAGTGTTCTTAAGCACAATCTGCGGTCTCTAAACGTTTTGGGAAACTTAATTAATTTCAGCTTTCGAGGCCATTCTGAAAACAAATTATTGCAGCCCGATTTGTGAATCATCAGAGAAAAAATGCATCGCATCACGTCTAAAAAGGCCTCGTTTACCAATTTTTTTTGTCCTGGCGTTGCATTACATGGCGAGAGCATAACGCATAAACTTAGAAATTTAACAGAAAATTTAGGGAAGAAAGTCAAAAGAAAATAAATCGGCCCAAAGTTATTAATAAAAAAGAAGCTCATCTTGTCAGATAGATGGTCAGACCAGTGTCATAAAATAACTCTTACATGCTCAAAAGCAACGAGAGATGGGTTTTATATGGCAGTTAATTATCAAATTACGTTAGTCCTACACAACGCTGTAGAAATTCGAAACCGTCGGGTCAAGTTGGGGCAACTAAAAGTTTAAGAAGTTGAATGGCCTTCGGCTATGATCCCGGAGGTCTTCTGGGGCTGCGAATTGGCTTTTGATCATATTTTTTACTTCGATCTATCTGTGCCAAATCTCATCATGGTAGATCACGGCAGGAGGAACACTTGATCGATTTGACGTAAAATGACCCAAACATAACTTAAGCTTCTGTAGCTTCTACGTATCGGTTTCTATTTTGGGTTGTAACTCCCATCATCGACCGCATTGCTCCCAAGCCACGAGAGTGACGGAGATGTTCTCTTAAACGAGGTGTGAAATTTCAACTTCCTGACACGTGAACCAGGTAAATAGTCAGGTACTTCTGTGATAAGCTCAGGCTGGCTGTTCGACGACGTTGGGCCATCTGGCAGAGTGCCGGAAATACCCACGATCACTGAATGGCCCGGCCATATTCGCGATTATGCGATATGTGTGCCTCTTGTATGCAAACTGCAGTTAACGCAGCCATTGCGAGCCATATATTCGCGAGGTCGTCTATTTGACAGAGAGCGCCCACTTTGAAGGCAAGAGGAAGAGTGCATGCTGAGCTTTAGAGGCCCTTCCAAATATTTATCGGATGACACACGGGAATATCTATCACCGTGGGTACATGAAAACGCAGATGCATTACGAGGTGTATGAGGGCGGTCCAGGTCATACCATAATAAGTTCATTTCAACTTAACTTCAAGCATAAAAACCTGATCAGATTGGTAAACACCGCTATCACCCTTCCAGTAAGGCGTTGACCGTAATTGTACTGGCGCCTTGCGAATCGGTTTGAACTGTCCGGAGCTTCGGTCCCAGATCGCTGGAGAAGCGTCAGTACCCTCACCGATGCCGACATTACCGCCCACTGATGCCTACGTCGCCTGGCGTCAGTGCTGCTCACCGATGCCGACATTGCCGTGCGCTGATGCCTGAGTTACCATTTTTCCGTGGGATTGTAATGATCTGAACAATACACCCTTATCGAACTAACGAACTATATGCTCCCGGACGATTTATGACGAAAACAGTGGCACATGTTGCATATGGCAATGTCTTTATGACACATGACACATCATCTTAATTTAGTTATGAATTACACCAGGCAAATGTTGTGTACGCTCCCGGGTTAAATCACGATAATGATCGCGGAGCAATACTCATCTTGTAGTGGTCAGTGGTGAGTTCATGGAAGTACCCAACGGACGTCTCAAATGGAAAATCGGAGACATTAAGGTACAACTTTGAGAAAACCAACTTCGTGTTCCGAATAGATCCCTCACTCACATACGTGCGTATACAGTCAAGTTCTGGGTTGATGAAACGTTATGCTATCATTTAATTGCCCGCAAATCGTGATAA